CAGTGTGGGTAATGACACCCCCCAGGGGCAGTGAGGGTAATGACATCCCCCGGGGCAGTGTCTGGGTAATGACACCCCCGCAGGGGCTGTGTGGGTAATGACACCTCCCCAGGGGCAATGTGGGTAATAACACCCCCTAGGGGCAGTGTCAGGGTAATGACACCCCCCCGGGGCAGTGTCTGGTTAATGACACACCCCAGGGGCAGTGTCTAGGTAATGATACCCCTCAGGGGCAGTGTGGGTAATGACACCCCCAGGGGCAGAGTGGGTAATGACACCCCCTAGGGGCAGTGTCAAGGTAATGACACCCCCCCCGGGCAGTGTCTGGGTAATGAACCCCTCAGGGGCAGTGTCTGGGTAAGGACACCCCCCAGGGGCAGTGTGGGTAATGACACTCCCCCAGCGGCAGTGATTGGGTAATGACACCCCTCCAGGGCAGTGTCAGGGTCATCACCACATGCCCCCCGCAGGTCTGAGGGACACCCCCCCCAACCCCCCCCCCCCGCTGATGATAAAGTTCCTTGGATAATTTTGACCAATGGCCCCATTGCTGTTCCTCAGTGACAGCCTCGAACTGAGTTCTGTCTTTATCACTGACTCCAGGTGTGGGTCTGAGCCCTAGCTCCTGGGGATTGGCTCTGGGGGGTTGAGTTGGCTGAGTGTCCAGTCTGTAGGAACAGCTGTCCCCGGGGGTCAGGTGGCGGGGGGAAAGGTGGGGGGAGGAGTTTGCCACTGATGGAGGTTTTTGTTGGGGTCTGTTCCCAGTTGGAACTCTGGGTGATCCCAGTCCCAATCCTTTCAGGATAACTGCCAGGAAGCCAAGGGGAGCCGTCACCAGGACCGTATCTCCCAGTTTACAATCTCAGCCTGGCCTCTGGCCCCTTGTCTGGGTTTCCAGTTTGAAGTCAGCCTTGGCCTTGCTCTCCCACCCCCCGCTACCTCCAGGTTTGGGGAAGCCGGATGCTATGGTGCTGTCCCATTCTCCCAGGGCTGCTTCTGCTGTCACACGCTGCATTGTCCCAGAGTTAAAAAGGAAACAGGCCAGCTTCATTTCCAAAGCGCCTGTCGTTTGTTTCCTCATGCTGCTGTTGAATACCTGGACCATGAGCTCAGCCTGACCATCTGAGCATGTGAATTTACTTCATTTGTCTTCACAAGGACCGAAAGGGTCCACTGGGAAATAGGGTCCCATTGCCTGTTGCAGATGGTGGAGATTTTCTTTGGTGTTGTAAAAGGTAGCGTACACCATTTGTTGCACCTTGATCCAGTTTGAATTGGCATTGAAAAAGATTGAGAACGTGGAGCCCATTAAAGGCCCCGTGGAATCTCGCAGGTCTCCCTGGGCAGCCCCATGGGGTGCAATGAAGCTGCTACTTGGGCCTTCTGGATTTGACTGCAGGTTTTGCACCAACTCACCTCGTTTGTAATATCAGTGTCTGTGCCAGGCAATATTTTCACTTGAGAAATTCCTGGTGACCATTGAGCAATTCTTGGAGATTTGGTTGCAGGCCTGAACATGGGTAAATCACCTGGGCTCCCCTCAAGGTAATCCACCTTCCACGTCCAACTCCCAGCACTGTGAGATATCAGGTTTCAGCTCTTTGGTAGGATGTCCATGTGGCCCACCATTTAGGACAGTGTTACAGAGATTCACCAACACGGGCTCCTTTTCGGTCCAAGCCTGGATTTGTTTGGCAGGTAAAAGTAGGGTGTCCATAAAGTTAAAAGTCAGGAAGACTTCAACTATCTCTGGGGGTGAAGGTACACAGTTCAGGGCATCCATGTAGGCTCGGTGTCTCCCTAGACCATGTTCCAAGGAATATTCATAGGCAACTGATAGCAGTGTCCCCCAGCGCTCATTCAAGCTGATACAATGAGAGGAATCAGCTGTCTTCCTTGAAGACCAGAGGTTTGTGATCCATGACTATGGTGAAATGTTGCCCGTGGACATACTGGTGGAACTTATTCATTGTGCGTACCATGGCCAAACCTTCCTCCTCAATCTGGGCAGACTTCCTTTCTGCCTCCATCATGTGCACACCATTGGATGTTCTGTCCTATCATCCCGACATGTGACAGTACCACCCCTATCCCACAGCGGGAGGTGTTATAGGTTACAATGAGTGGTCTCAGCGAACATAATGAGTGACTATATCTGCTGACAGTGGTTGTTGTTTGATGTTTACAAAGGCCTTTTCTTTTGGCATTTACCGCAACCATCTGTGATTTTTTTAGCAGGATATAGAGAGGTGGCAGTCGGGTCAGATTAGTGTGAGAAATTCATAACCAATTTAGGAGACGTATAAAAGGCTTCATGTTTCTTGGAGTCACAGGTCTTCTTATGGCCTTTCCCTTCTCTTCAACATGATGTCACCAGCTAACTCTTGTTAACCCTGTACCCGAGGAACATTACCTCATTTACCTATAAGTTGAACACACTGAAACACTGCAAAAACCTACTACAAACTCTCAAAATGTTCCTTTGCAGTAGCTTCTGAAATTAGAATATCATGCAGATAGACTGCCTCCCTGGGCACACCTTGGAGGATATTCTCCATCACCCTTTGAAAGATGGCTCAAGTCAAAGATACCCAACAAGGCAAGTGTACTCACACAGTCCTCAATGAGCATTTATAGTAACATACTTCTTGAAATATACCTCAAACTCCAGTTGGAGGTAGGCGTGGTTCATATTCAATTTGGAAAATATGTGACTCCCAGCCAACCTTTCATACATGTCTTTTCTGTGTGGCATAGGGTATCTGTCTAAGCAGGAAGCTCTGTTGACCATCAGCTTATAATCCTCACAGAGATGGATCTAGTTGTCAGGTTTTAAAACTAGGACTACTGGCACAGCCCATTCAGCAAATTATACTGGGGATATGATGCCAAGTTCCTCTGGAAATTCCAATTTGGCCTCTACATTGGCGCATAGGGGACCAGTTGTGCTTCTGGGTCAACATAAATCTTGGCCCTGGCTCTTTTTATCCTCCTGAGGCCCTCTTGAAAATCTTTGGGATTCTTCCTAAAGACTTCATACAGATTACCAGTACCCATTCTAAAGATCACTTTCTGTAGCCAGTCCCTTCCCAAAAGCCTTTGTATCACTAGTAAGGGGAGTCAGACTGTCAGCTGCCCTTGTATAACTGGGATTACTATGGTCCCAATAATACATAAGGGTTCCTTGGTCTGTGTGGCTAATCTAGCCTTGGCGTCTCACAGGCTTAAAGGCAAGATGCCCCATTGGATTTCCTAAAGATTTTCTCCCCAACAACAGATACAATGGTACCTGGGTCTATCTCCATATCTAGGGGGTGGCCATTTACCTGGAGTTTTATCCAAATTGAGGCCACTTTGGGAGCACTGATGTAATTTAGCTGTATCAATTCCTCACCCTCAGGCTGATTTATTTGCACAGCCCTGTCTTGAGGTGACTTTGCCCTTGGACCTGGGCAGTATGCATTTTGCCTGTATCGATAGCCTTGACTGGAATAGACCCTATGAGCACACATGCAGCCTGGGTACTCCTGTTCCTCACTGTATTGTGGAGAAACATCCCGCCCAGTTCTGGAACCTCATGGTCTTTGACTCAAATTGCCCTTCCCTGGCAACAAACGGGGGCTCTGAGTACTATCTGCTGGGGATTTGGGGGTGACCATCTATGGGTCCTGAAGCTCCCAAGCCCCCTTTTCTATGTTTTCACCAGAAAAAGCCAGTTCTATGGCTTTCTTGAGGTTCGGATCTAGTTTGGTAAATAGGTTCCTTTGGGTCACAATATTATTAATTCCACAAACAAAGCAATTCCTTAACATTTCGTGAAGTGCTGACCCATACTGTATGTGTTCCACTAATTTCCACAGTCTTGTCAAGCATTCAGTACCTGGTTCCCCAGGAAGTCTGTTTGCCGTGTTAAACCTGTAATGCTACAGTACAGCAGATGGTTTAGCCTCATAGTGGTTCCATTACCATATCTATCAGTTCATCAAAGGAGTTTGACTCCTAGTTTCTAGGAAGGTTAAACTCTTTATGATGCTGAAAGTTGAGGCCCACAAGCGGTAAGGAGGATGACTTTTTGTCAGTGGCTCCCATCTATCCCAGTTTCCTGAGAAAAGTATCTCACTCTTTCGACATATGGGGCCAATCCTCCACACCTGCATCATAAGGCTCTAGTTTCCCAAACAGCAGCATTTCCAATATTTTCCCTGTTGTGGTCTTACCGGGTTCTTCAGAAGGAAAGGCTGCCTGAAACTGTTCTTCAGGCTCGTCACCGGTATCGTCACTCAGGAAAACCAACTGGGAAGGAACTCCAAAATAGAGCTGTTCCTCAGGGAGTACCTCGACTGGTCCCAACCTGGGACAGACAGTTTCACAGACCCATCCCTGGGTCTGCTGTTTTTTAAAACTCAACTTGTTCAGAGCTGTGATTACACACTTCCTAAGCAGATGGGACTTGACCCTGGGCCTCCTGGCCCAAAGGTATGCACACTACCACAGCAGCACAACAGCCCCTCTTCAGTCTGCATTTTTTTATATCATAAAGTGCCATCACAATGGGTCTACTTTATTCTATACTTCAGCTGGGATTTAGTCATTCCCGAGAGTGGTTAGTGATGTCCTTCATTATATTGGTATGCATTGTTAGTCATCAGTTATTTCAATCATCGTGTTCAGACATGCCTAATGGGAATTCAGGTGGGACTTGAATCCTGGGTCTCCTGCTCAGAGGAAAAGACACTACCACTGTGCCTCAAGGGCCCCTAATGGATCTGCATTTTTTCATATCCAGAAGCACCATCTGAGGAAGGGTCACCTAACTCAAAACATTGAGACAACAAGGTGCAGGGCTGGATGAACACAGCAGGCCAAGCAGCATCATAGGAGCAGAGAGGCTGACGTTTCGGGCCTAGAACCTTCATCAGAAAGGGTCTCCGACACCTCCTCCTACCGCCCCCTTGATCATGACCCCACCCCTGAGCACCAAACCATCATCTCGCAAACCATCCACAACCTCATCACCTCAGGTGACCTCCCACCCACGGCCTCCAACCTCATCGTTCCCCAACCTCGCACTGCCCGCTTCTATCTCCTTCCCAAAATCCACAAACCTGAATGCCCTGGTCGACCCATTGTCTCCGCCTGCTCCTGCCCCACCGAACTGATCTCCAACTATCTCGACTCCATTTTCTCCCCCTTGGTCCAGGAACTCCCTACCTATGTCCGTGACACCACCCACGCCCTCCACCTCCTCCAGAACTTCCAATTCCCCGGTCCCCAACACCTCATCTTTACCATGGACGTCCAGTCCCTCTACACCTGCATAGCTTTCTGATGAAGGGTCTAGGCCGGAAACGTCAGCCTCTCTGCTCCTATGATGCTGCTTGGCCTGCTGTGTTCATCCAGCCCTGCACCTTGTTGTCTCGGATTCTCCAGCATCTGCAGTTCCTACTATCTCAAAACATTGACTCTGTTTTTTGCCTTCACAGATGCTGCCAGAGCTGCTGAGCTTTTCCAGCAACTTTGCTTTTGTCGCCATCACAACAGGTCTGTTTTATAAATATTTTCAAACCAACCTGTTTAGGGATGTTCCTACACACCTCCGGAGAAGGTGGGACTTGAACCTGGATCTCCTGGTCCAGAGGTAGGGACACTACAACTGCCCCACAAGAGGCTTCTGGGTTTGCTTTTTCTCAGTTACTATTTCAGTTTACTTTCTAAACAACCTGTCACACAGCCCTCGAGCAGACGCCACATCAACCCGGACCTCCTGCTCCAGAGGTAGGGACACTACTACTGCCCCACAACAGCCCTGTGGGCCTGCCTTTTTCTAACTTATATCTGGAATTGTTATTAAACACAGGCAAACACCCTTCCCAGCACCACATCATTGTGACATTTTTTCATTTTTTAACTATTAACTACCACGAGTTACCACCTGTGCACCCAATCAGACATTTACCTGCTAAGCAAACCATCAAAAGTGAGGGGGAGGCAGGTAGAGTGGGAAGGGGCTAAAGCAGATTGGAGTTGGAGGGGGGAAAGAAAGCTCTGTATTCCCTTGTGGTGCCCACCTCTCTATCTCTCTCTCTCTCTAAAGGCATTGATAGCATTGATGGACGCCACCTGCTCCCTCTCCAATGACACCTGGGTCTGTCCACGGATCCCTGAAGGTGGTAGGGAAATGAACAGGTTGGTTAGGAAGGTATAAGAGACAGGTGCCTTTATAAGTTGAGGCATAGGTTATAAGAGCAGGGTGGTTATGTTGGAGCTGTACCAAACTTTAGTTTGGCCACGGCTGGAGTAGTGTGTACAGTTACAGGGAGGAGATGGCCTAGTGGTACGATCATTGGACTGTTAATTCAGTGACCCAAGTAATGTTCTGGGGACTGAGGTTTGAATCCCACCATGGCAGACGGTGGAATTTGAATTCAATTTTAAAAAAAAACTGGAATTAAGAGTCTAATGATGATGATGAATCCATTGTTGATTGTTGGGAAAACACATCTATTTCACTAATGTCCTTCAGGGAGGGAAACTGCCATCCTTACTTGGCTTACATGTGACTCCAGACCCACAGCAATGTGGGTGACTCTTAACTGCCCTCTGGGCTATTAGGGATGGGCAATAAATGCTGCCTTAGCTAGTGACACCTTCATAATGTGAATGAATAAGAAAAAACATTCTGGTCTCCACACTATCACAAGAATGTGATTGCACTGGAGAGGGGTGAAGAGGAGATTCACCAGGATGTTGCTTGGGTTGGGGCATTTCAACTATGAGAGAGAGATCCTGCTCCTCTGATGCTGCCTGGCCTGCTGTGCTCCTCTAGCACCATACTGTGTTATCTCTGACTCCAGCACCTGCAGTTCTTACTATCTCTGGATAGGCTCAGGTTGTTTTATTTAGAGCAAAGAAGGCTGAGGGGGAACCTGATAGAGGTCGATAAGATTGTGAGGAGTATGGACAGGATGAATAGAAAACAGTTGTCCCCTTAGTCAAAGGGTCAATAATAAGGGGGCACACTTTTAAGGCAGAAGGCAGGAGGTTGAGAGGGGAATTTGAGGAATGATTTTTCACCTAGAGAGTGTTGGGGACCTTGGAGGCACTGCCTGGGAGGGTAGTTGGGGCAGGAAACCTCACAACGTTTAAAACGTACTTGGAAGAGCACTTGAAATGTCACAACATTCCAGGCTATGGGTCAAATGCTGGAAAGTGGGACTGGTGTAGATTTAACATAATTTTGGTGGTAGAAAAGAGCTCTTCTGTATTCTACGATTCCGTGATCTTATTAAAACATACTCAATCCTTAGGAGACCTGACAGGGAGGATGCCGAGGGGCTTTCTCCTGTGTGGGCGAGATTTGATTAAAGGGACGCGATGTTTTAAAAATCAAAGGTCTCCCATTTTAGACGGGGACGTTAACCATCTTTTCTTTTAGAAGTTGAAGGTCTTCGGAACTCTCTTCCCAGAGAGGGATAGAAGCAGAATCAATGAATATTTTTAAGGCAGACGTAGATAGATTCTTGACCAACAAGGCCATTAAAGGTTATCCAGGTAACTCCAGAAATGTGGAGTTAAGATCACAATTGGATCAACCATGATCTTGTCAAACAGTGAAGCAGGTTCATGGAGCTTGTATGTTCATATGTAAAGACATGATTTTATCTTGGTTTCACTAAACTGTGGTCAATTTGCTGCAAGGCAATACTTTAAGTTCATCTTCAAATTGAGTTTCAATTATTTTGCTCGAGAAGCATTTACAATGAAACTACTGAACAGATCACTTCCCACACGCTCCACCTACTGCACTCCCCCCATCCCCTGCCCCAGCCTTGCCTCCCAATGGACCAAATGACTTCCTTCTGAACAGCTCATACCAGTCAGAACCGAACTGCACACAGGCCTGGAAAACAGGACAGCTACAAGTAACTAATCCAACTAAATAACCAGCACAGGAATCTGAAGGACATTTACTCTGCATGGTGCATTAATATATTTGCACCGCACAGCAGCACATCCTGAAGACATGAAAATGACACTGAGGCTGTCTTAAGCAACCATTGACTTACATGAGGTTAACAGCAACTCCAATTGCTGCAATGATGATCATCACATCTGCTTGGATTTCAAAGTCCTGGTGTATGGTCCTCTGAACTGCTTCATAGATGAGCCCAATAGTCACTGCATAGATCAGCATTACACTCAGCACTGCAGCCAGGGCCTCTGTGCAACACACAACAAAAGGACCACATTGATTCCGCAAAATTAACCAAACAGTACAAACAAATCACAACATTGTCAATACTGGGATTGAATAGATGACAGAGATATCACAATAACTACCAGTATAAGAATGAAGGGGCCATAATACAGGTAACACAACTTGACTAGTAATCTAGAACCAGGGTTAATGTTCTAGGTCATGCCATAAGCATTTAGTAAAACAGCTCAAACAACAGTTCCCTGTCCACTGCTTATGAAAAGAGTGGAGATGGTACAAGAATAACTAGCATGCTTCAATAATCAGATATGGAGCCAAAGAAACAGCTGTGGAGTGGGAGTAAGCAATAAACAGAATGAGAAAGATGGGCTGAAGGAACATTGAGCATTGTAAAGGAGGGTAGAATGATAGTTAAAGGTCACAGAGTCTGGGTCCTGGGAATTTGAATGGATTTGAATAGCCCTTGACCGAGGAAAGCTGAAGAAATCAGCTAATCAAAATGACATTGCATAGTCTAAAAACACAAAGTGTGTTGCCAATTTTTGGCACTAGGTTGATCCTTGCACAACCCTGTATCTTTTTATGCATGAACAGCAAGCCCTCCCCTAAGGTTTTGGAGAAATTGTATTGTGTACTGGATGAAAGTTACTGAGTACTGTGCTTCAGTTCTATGCACAATATAACACACACTGCAGTTAGAACTTCTCTCCTACTGAGTTAAAGGTTCAATGTGCAGACTAACCAAACCATGATTATTGCCTCTCTTTTGCCAGTGCATGATACAAAGTTCAGACAAAGATTCTTTGCTGATTCAACTTATCACAGAATGTGGTTCCATAATGATTTTGAGCTCCCTTACTGCCACGTCAACTCCTCTTCAGAAAACCCAGCTACATAGCCGTGACTAATGGGTGCAGCATTGAACCGAATAAATAGTCATAGGATGATCCAGTATAAAAAAAACTACGCCATTCAACCCACTGCACCTGTGTGAATCTTTGAAAGAACAAACTGCTTCCCAAAGTTACTCAGTTCTAACCTTTAATAAAAGGTAAACCTTGAAGATGCAGGATTTTAGACTAAACTTTTTCATAAAAAAACGAAAGAACTGCAGATGCTGTAAATCAGGAACAAAAACAAAGTTGCTGGAAAAGCTCAGCAGGTCTGGCAGCATCTGTGAAGGAAAAAACAGAGTTAACGTTTCAGATCCGGTGACCCTTCCTCAGAACTG